AAGAATAATACCTATTCTCCTGAAGCTCTTTCAAAAAATACAAACAGAAGGAAAACTTCCAAACTCATTCTGTCAGGCCAGCATTACCTTGATCCCAAAACCAGGCGAAGACCCTATTAAAAGGAGAATTACAGAACAATATTCCTGATGAATATAGATGCCAAAATTCTCAACAAGATCCTACCCATTAGGATCCAACAGTACATTAAAAGGATTATCCCTCATAACCAGGTGGGATTTATCCCTGGGATGCAAGGTGGTTCAACGTTTGCAAATCAGTGTGATAGAACACATTAATAAGAAAAGAGATAAGTACCATATAGTCCTCTCAATTGATGTAGAAAAAGTATCTGACAAAATACAGCAAATCCTTTCCTGAATAAGACTCTTCAGAGTGTAGAGACAGAAGGAAGATTCCTCAATTTCATAAAAACCATCTATGAAAAGCCCACAGCGAAAATCATTCTTGATGGAGAAAAGCTGACAGCCTTCCCCTTTAGATCAGGAACGTGATGAGGATGCCCACTCTCGCCACTATTGTTAAACATAGTACCAGAAGTCCTAGCAACAGCAATTAGAAAACAAAAGGAATGAAAGGTATTCAAATTGACAAAGAAGAAATCAAATTCCCTCTCTTTGCAGATGACATGATACTTTATGTGGAAAGCCCAAATTACTAGAACTCATACAGCAATTCAGTAATGTGGCAGGATACAAAATCAATGCACAGAAATCTGTTGCATTTCTATACACCAACAATGAGACAGAAGAGAGAGAATTAGGGAATTAATTCCATTTACAATAGCACCAAAAACCGTAAGATACCTTGGAATAAACCTAACCAAAGAGCTGAAGGATCTATACTTGAGGAACTACAGAACACTCATGAAAGGAATCGAAGACACAAAAAGATGGAAAAACATTCCATACTCATGTACTGGAAGAATAAACATTGTTAAAATGTCTATGCTGCCCAGAGCAATCTGTACTTTCAACGCCATCCTGATCAAAACACCAATGGCATTTTTCCAAGTCCTGGAACAAACAATCCTAAAATTTGTATGGAACCAAAAAAGACCCTGAACCACCAAGGAAATGTTGAAAAAGAAAAAAAAAAAAAAAGTGCTGGGGGCATCATGTTGCCTGACTTCAAGCTATATTACAAAGCTGTGATCACCCAGACAGCATGGTACGGGCACAAAACAGACACAGAGATCAATGGAACAGAACAGAGAGCCCAGATATGGACCCGCAACTCTATGGTCAAATAATCTTCAACAAAGAAGGAGAAAATATCCAACGGAAAAAAAACAGTCTCTTCAATAAATGGTGTTGAGAAAATTGGACAGGTATATACAGAAGAATGAAACTTGACCATTCTCTTATACCATATACAAAGATAAACTCTAAATGGATGAAAGACCTCAACGTGAGGCAGAAATCTCTCAAAATCCTAGAGGAGAACATAAGCAGTCACCTCTTCGACATCAGCCACAGCTACTTATTTCAAGACAGGTCTCCAAAGGCAAGGGAAACAAAAGCGAAAATGAACTTTTGGGACTTCATCGAGATCAAAAGTTTCTGCACAGCAAAGGAAACAGTCAACAAAACAAAGAGGCAACCCACGGAATGGGAGAAGATATTCACAGATAACACTACAGATAAAAGGCTGGTATCCAAGATCTTTAAAGAACTTCTCAAACTCAACCCCCAAAAAACAAATAAGTCAAAAAATGGGCAGAAGACATGAACGGACACTTCTCCAAAGACAAATGAATGGCTAACAAGACACATGAAAAAATGCTCAACGTCATTAGCCATCAGGGAAATTCAAATCAAAACCACATTGAAATACACCTTATACCAGTTAGAATGGCAAAAATTGACAAGGCAAGAAATAACAAATGTTGGAGAGGATGTGGAGAAAGGGAATGCAAGTTGGTGCAGCCACTTGGGAAAACAGTGTGGAGGTTCCTCAAAAAGTTAAAAATAGAGCCATCCTACGACCCAGCAATTGCACTACTGGGAATTTATCCCTAAAGATACAGATGTGGTGCAAAGAAGGGCCACATGTACCCCAATGTTCATAGCAGCAATGATCACAATAGCCAAACTATAGAAGGAACCAAGATGACCTTCAACAGACGAATGGATAAAGAAGATTATTTATACATACATACAATGGAATATTACTCAGCCATCAGAAAAGATGAATACCCACCATTTGCATTGACATGGATGGAACTGGAGGAGATTATGCTAAGTAAAATAAGTCAAACAGAGGAAGACAATTACCATATGGTTTCACTTATTTGTGGAACATAAGGAATAGCATGGAGGACATTAGGAGAAGGAAGGAAAAAATGAAGGGGGGGATATCAGAGGGGTAGGCAAACCATGAGAGACTATGGACTCCGGGAAACAAACTGAGGGTTTTAGAGGGTAGGGGAGCCAGGGGATGGGTTAGCCCAGTGATGGGCATTAAGGAGGGCAAGTATTATAATGAGCACTGGGTATTATACAAAAACAGTAAATGGTATAAGAAAACATGGAACACTGTATCAAAAACTAATGATGTACTGTATGGTGATTGAGACAACATAATTTTTAAAAAAGGAATACTTATTTTGAGACTCATCCTATGTTGTTGCATGAGTTAATAGTTCATTACCTCTTATTTCCAACTAGTAGTCTGTTATACAGATATACCACAGTGTGTTTAGTCATTCACCCACTGATGGGCATTTGAGTTACAAACTGTCCATGGGAGACAGGAGTTGCTTTTTGACCTACCTTTTGCCTTCACAATTATTTATTAGTTAAAATAAAGGGGCACCTGGGTGGCTCAGTGGGTTAAAGTCTCTGCCTTCGGCTCACGTCATGGTCTCAGGGTCCTGGGATCGAGCCCCACATCAGGCTTTCTGCTCAGCGGGGAGCCTGCTTCCTCCTCTCTCTCTGCCTGCCTCTCTGCCTACTTGTGATCTCTGTCTATCAAATAAATAAATAAAATCTTTAAAAAATAAAAAAAAATTTTTTTTAATTTAAAAAAGATCAGCAGCTCAGACTAAACTCCCCTGCAAAGATGTAATAGAAAATAGACTAGCCTTAGACAGTATTAAGAAAAATGTGCCAAGACAGCAATATGACTCAAACATATACACAAGATTTCCAGATAGCCTTTTTTTTTTTTTTTAAGATTTTATTTATTTCTTTGACAGACAGAGGTAACAAGTAGGCAGAAAGGCAGGTGGTGGGGGTGGGGGAGCAGGCTCCCAGCTGAGCAGAGAGCCCGACACGGGGCTGGATCCTAGGACCCTGAGATCTTGACCCAAGCCAAAGACAGAGGCTTAACCCACTGAGCCACCCAGGCACCCCACCAGATAGCCTTTCAACAACTCAAAAGATGCTCCACAGAGAATACCATTTCTTGACCATGAGAACTATCCAGTAGCTGACAACACACATTTTGGGTCAGGCTCTGGGGAACATGTACTCTCCTTTGTTGGCTGGAAATACCTAAAAGTATGCATTTACCCTTCACCTTCACCCAGCAATCCAACTGAAGATATAACTCCGCAAATATGAAACAAATATGTACAGTGTTAATCACTGCAGAATTATTTGTAATGCAAAATGTAGAAACAATACAAATTTCTACTAAGTTTGAGATAGTACGTGCATTTGAATAAAAGAATTTGAAAAGAAATCTGTAAGTCCCTAAAAGTGGTCTACCAAAAAATTTAATAATAATAATAATAAATTCAGAGAGAAAGAAGGAATGGCTGTTGCAGAAAAGTCATTTTACAGAAGAATATCAGCTAATAAATACAGAAGCAATTATGAAATAAAAAAAATCAACATCTTTCAAATCCTAATGGAGTAAGCGATTCAGGTAAGAATCAACAATGGTTACAAAAATCACAATGCCAAACAGGATATTCATGCAGTGCCAAAAAATCACCCTGCACATTACAGTTTACATATTACTAATAAAGGAAGTCAGGTCATTATCTTACTTGGTTAACAGGCTATCTCTGGAATGAGAAGGTACAGAGCACTCAACTTTATACCTTATGCAGTTTTATACATATGTAAAAACTAGCATGCTCTGTTTCTGTAACACTAGGATAGGTCTATTTCATAAACAGAAATATTCTATGTTGGAAAATCTTTAAAAATTTTTAATTAAAAAAATGGAAGGAATCAGAACTTATAAAAGATACAAAAGAAATCAAAATGAAATAGATACAAAAGAAATACAAAATGAATTTTTTGTAAACCAGATTTTTTAACTACTAAACGTGTGGTTTTCAAATAGCTTCCTGGCACACTGTTTTCTCTTTGTTCTATGTGGACGCCCTTTTAGATTATTAAGACTCTACTGAGCCAGGAGGCTAAGTTAGTTCACTGATTGACTTTTTTTTTTTTTAATCTATTTCCAACATAAAAATTTACCAAAATCACAGTAAGAGTCAAACATGTCCAACTCCATTACGGAGTAACAATTTAGCAGTACTGTCTAAAATTGAAGATACATATTCACAGTATTCAAATCTAAATTAATCTAAATTTGTTTCATTTCCACATGTTAACAAAAAAAAATCTTTTCAGACATTGATGACCGGTTTAGTGACATCTGGATTAGGGTCACTGGATAAAATAGAGGACAACCAGTTAAATTTGAATTTCAGAGAAACAACAAAATATTTTAGCATAAATATGCCCCAAGCAATATTTGGGATAGACATAATATAAAACTTTTGGGGCCTCCTGTTTCTATTTTCTTGGTAAATCTGGCAAGTCTCATATGCGTAGGAATGTTTTGCAAGTACATTTTTGAAGTTCAAATAAAGGGCAATGTTAAGTATTGAGATTGAAACTCATTACAGGATTCAGGATTGTGACTTATGAAATTTTCTCCACCCCACTCCCCCCATTCAGAGGACAAAACCCAAAGACATAGGAAAAAAAATATGTATATATATATTAAGTATGCTTACACAAATCCTGGAAATCCGTTTCTAGTAAGGATAATAATATTGACAATAGATCCTCCGTGCTCTTTCATCCAGCAGTTGTAAACTGCAGGAAACAGCCAATGACGATCATATGAAATAGCGTCCTGACTCTCTTCTTACTCACTGTCCCACCATCTTGCTTGCTATTTAAAAATTTTTAATTTCACGGTACCTGGGTGGTTCAGTGGGTTAAGCCTCTGCCTTTGGCTCAGCCCTGCAGCAGGTTCTCTGCTCAGCAGGGAACCTACTACCCTCTCTCTCTCTGCCTGCCTCTCTGCCTACTTGTGATCTCTCTCCCTGCCAAATAAATAAATAAAATCTTAAAATTTTTTTAAATTTACAATTCCTTTTTCTTAAAAGCCTGACTGAATATAATTTATATATCATGAAACTCATCTACTTTATGTGTAAAACTTAATGATTTTTAATAAATATACAGTCATGCAACCACCATGACAATCCAGTTTTAGAACATTCCATCACCCCCAAAAACATTGCTTTGTGCCCATCTCCAGCCAAGCCACCCCACGCAAACCCTCATCTACTTTCCATTTATACAAATTTGTCTTTTCTGGACATTTCACATAAATGAAATCACACCATAGGTGGTCTTTTGTGTCTGGCTTCTTTTACTTAGAATAATATCTGTAAGGTTCATCCACAGGGTAACGTGTATCAATAGTTAATTTTTATTGCTGAATCGTATTCCAGTGAATAGACAGGCCATATTTCATTTGTCTACTCACCAGAGGATGAACATTTGAATTGTTTCCATTGGTGCATCATGAAGAATACAAACTGTTGGGTGGACATATGTTTTTATTTCTCTTGGGTAGATGCTTGGGAATGGAACTGCTGGGTCATATGGCAACTGTATGTTTAACTTTTTAAGTAACTGCCAAACAATTTTCTGGTGTCTCCACTATTTTTTTTTTAAGATTTTTATTTATTTATTTGAACAGAGAGAGAGAGAGATCACAAGTAGGCAGAGAGGCAGGCAGAGAGAGAGGGGAAGGCAGGCTCCCCGCTGAGCAGAGAGCCCGACGCGGGGCTTGATCCCAGGACCCTGAGACCATGACCCGAGCTGAAGGCAGAGGCTTAAGCCATTGAGCCACCCAGGCGCCCCTGGTGTCTCCACTATTTTACATTTCTACCAGATATGTATGAGGGTTCCAGTTTCTCCATGCTATTATGCCTAATTTTTTTTTATTATAACCATTCTAGTGGGTATGAAGTGATATTTCACTGAGGTTTTGATCTGATGTCCTGAATGACTAATGGTGCTGACAATCTTCTGATGTACTTATTAGCCATTCATTTATTTTCTTTGATAAAATATCTATTCAAATATTTTGCTCATTTTTTAATTAGTTTGTTTTCTTAATACTGAATTATAAGAGCTCTTTCTTTGTTCTGGATATAAGTCCTTTATCAGGTATGTGATTTCCCTCAGTCTGGCTTATCTTTTCATTTTCTTAATGTTGTCTTTTGAAGTGCAAACATATTTAAGTTTGATTAAGTCAGGTTTATCAATTTTTTTTACTTTATACATGGTATTCTAGATGGTGTATCTCAGGACTCTGCCTAAGTCAAGGTCATAAAGATTTTGCACTTTGTTTCCACAAGTTACACAATTTTACCAACTGCATTTAGGTCTATGGTCCATTTTGTACTTTTGGTTAACTTTTACTTATGGTATAAGGGAAGGGTCTTCTTGCATGTGGATATCCAACTGTCCAGGACCATCTGCTGAAAAGACGATCATTTCCCCATAGAAATGCCTAGGCCCCCTTGGCAAAAATCGTAAATATAAGGGATTGATCACAACTATAAGGGTTTATTTCTAAACTTTCAAATTTGTCCTAAATATCTATTCTTTTGTCCTTATGCCAGTACCACGTTATCTTGAAATCAAGAAGTATAAGTCCTCCAACTTTCCTGGTCTACAAAACTGTTTTGGCTACTCTGAGTCCTTTGCACTTCCACATGTATTTTAGGATCTGCTTGTCATTTTCTGCAAAAGTAATAGGGACTGCGTTGAACCTACATACCAATTCGGGAAGAACTACAACCTTAACCGTATCAAGTCTTCCAATTCATAAATACTGAATGTTTTTCCATTTATTCTGATCCTTCATTTCTGTCAGCAATGTTTTGTCATTTTTAGATACAAGTCTTATCCTTCTTTTGTTAATTCTTTAAGTATTTTCTTTTCAATTTTGGTGTTTTTTTTTAGGGGGGAGAGAGTGGGAGTGGGGTTGGGGGCTAAAGTGGAGGGAGAAGAGAGAATCTTAAGCAGGTTCTACAACCGGCAAAGAACCCTACATAGGACTCAATCTTGTGAGAGCTCATGACCTGAGCTGAAATCAAGAGTCAGATCCTCAACTGACGAAGCCGCCAGGTGTCCCTCATTCTTTAAGTATTTTATCCTTTTTTGAAGCCCCATTTGATATTTAGCCATCAACTCTATTCATACAAATCAAGACAACGTCAGATGTGTACCCTCAAGACTCACTTCAATAGGAATCTAATTTTTAGAATGAAAGGCCAGAGAACAAGGAAAGACCCATTCCTATTAAGAGCTTAGACAAAAATAAGAATGGTTTCCCATCATTACTTAAAGCTCTCCAGTCGAGTTCTTCCCAATTCATACTAGATGACAGAAAAAGGAGGTAAAGCCCCCAGAAAAGAAGACATAAAATATAGTATTTTTGGACTCTAAGACAGTTCTTTCATATTATTTTGAAATTGTTGAAACTGGGATATGTTTTACAGTTGGTGGCTTCTTAGGATACAAATAACGCTGTTTCTACTTTCTTAGTAGTGTATAAAATGATGGTGCATTTCACCCAAGATACATGGACTGTATCTTTCACTCAATGAAATACATTATTTATTTTTAGACAACATGATTGTGTAGCTAAACACCTAAAAGACTAATTTCAAACATTGTTAGATAAACTACAAACTGCTAGATAAAGCTACAAGATGAACTTGAAAAAGTAGTTCTTATAAACCACCAATAATCCAGCTGAAAATAACTGGGAAAGGAGCCCATTCAAAAAGCAGGCGTTGGAGTGCCCAGGTGGCTCAGTCAGTTAAGCATCTGCTTTCAGCTCAGGTCACAATCCCAGGATCCTGGGATCAAGCTCTGCATCAGGCGCCCTGCTCATCGGGGAGTCTGCTTCTCCCTCTCCTTCTGTCCCTCCCTCTGCTCGTGCTCTTTCTGTCGCTCTCAGATAAATAAATAAAAAATTTTTAAAGATCTTAAAAAAGAAAAATCCTTAGGAGTCATCCAAAATATCTAGGTATAACCTTAGTCAAAAATATGAGAGGGGCTCCTGGGTGGCCCAGTCAGTTAAGCATCTGACTTTTGATTTTGGTTCAGGTCTTGATCTAAGGGTCATGAGTTCAAGGCCTGTGCTGGGCTCCATGCCCAGCATGGAACTTACTTAAAAAAGATTTACATGACGAAAACCACAGACCTTTGCCAGAAATTATAAAATAAGAATCCATTAATAGAAAGATGCGCCATGGGGCAGAGATAATATTTCAACATACTGTTAAATTATTGACAGGTTGAACACCATTCCAGTCAAATTCCCCTCCAGGAGTTTTGAGGAAAAAACGTGAATATAAAACTCATCTGAGGGACGCCTGGGTGGCTCAGTTGGTTAAGTGGCTGCCTTCGGCTCAGGTCATGATCCCAGCGTCCTGGGATCGAGTCCCACATCAGGCTCCTTGCTCAGCGGGGAGCCTGCTTCTCCCTCTGCCTCTGCCTACCACTCTGTCTGCCTGTGCTCATGCTCTCTCTCTCTCTCTCTCTCTCTCTAACAAATAAATAAATAAAATCTTTAAAAAAAAAAACTCATCTGAAAGAATAAAAGGGGGGCGCCTGGGTGGCTCAGTCAGTTAAGCGTCTCCCTTCAACTCAGGTTATGATCCCAGGGTCCTTGGAATAAGCTCCGCATCAGGTTCCCTGCTCAGTGGGGAGCCTACTTCTCCCTCTGCTTGTGCTCCCCCTGCTTGTGCTCTCTTGCTCTCTGTCAAAAAAATAAAATCTTAAAAAAAAAAGATAATAAATATAAATAAAATAAAAATAAAAGATAATAAAATAATAAATATAATAAAATAAATATAAATATATTTTATATATCTATATAAATATATAAAAATATAAAAAATAAATATAAATAAAATAAAAAAAAGATAATAAAATCTTTTTTTAAAAAAAAAGCTCCCGGGGCGCCTGGGTGGCTCAGTGGGTTAAAGCCTCTGCCTTCGGCTCAGGTCATGATCCCAGAGTCCTGGGATCGAGCCCCGCATCGGGCTCTCTGCTCAGCAGGGACCTGCTTCCTCCTCTCTCTCTGCCTGCCTCTCTGCCTACTTGTGATCTCCGTCTGTCAAATAAATAAATAAAATCTTTAAAAAAAAAAAAAAAGCTCCCTCTGCTTGTGCTCTCTTGCTCTCTGTCAAAAAAATAAAATCTGGGGGGAGGAGTCAAGATGGCGGAGAAGTAGCAGGCTGAGACTACTTCAGGTAGCAGGAGATCAGCTATATAGCTTATCTAAAGATTGCAAACACCTACAAATCCAACGGGAGATCGAAGAGAAGAAGAACAGCAACTCTAGAAACAGAAAATCAACCACTTTCTGAAAGGTAGGACGGGCGGAGAAGTGAATCCAAAGCGACGGGAAGATAGACCGCGGTGGGAGGGGCCGGCTCCCGGCAAGCGGCAGAGCAACGGAGCACAAAATCGGGACTTTTAAAAGTCTGTTCCGCTGAGGGACATCGCTCCAGAGGCTTAACCGGGGTGAAGCCCACGCAGGGTCAGCGTGGCCTCAGGTCCCACAGGGTCACAGAAGGATCGGGGGTGTCTGAGTGTCGCAGAGCTTACAGGTATTAGAACGGGGAAGCCGGCTACAGAGACAGAGCCGAGGAGTGAGCTCTAAGCTCGGGGTTACCTTGAACCGGTCACAGGCTCGGTCAGCTCGGAGCGCGGCCGGAGGCAGGGTGACGGGAGTAAATCGGCGCTGTTCTCTGAGGGCGCACTGAGGAGTGGGG